ACGTTAATGCTAATCTAACAACCAAGCTTTATGATAAACGTGATGACTTTAACTTTTCAATCGTCAACTTCCCTTACTTATGCAGCAATATACCTTCATCACCTGCATACGGGGTATATATTTCTCAGTTGATTCGATACGCAAGAGCATGCTCTACGTATGTACAATTTCTAAAACGAGGTAAATTATTGACAAACAAGTTGATGAAACAAGAATATCAGGAGTCTCGTTTAAAGCCATCATTTCGTAAGTTCTATGGGCGATACAATGATCTTGACAGCAAATACAATTTATCATTGAGTCAAATGCTGACTGACGTTTTTCATACTAATTTTTAGGCCATCATTTACACACTGAATTGTCGACGGATTTTCCAGTTATTTCCCGATTATATCAAGGAGCACACGGCGGGTGTGACCTGTCGGCAGGGGATGCTCACTCCTCCATGGCACTTGATCCCACCTATGATGTTTGGAAGTCCGTGTTTGCTCTGCTCCTATTTTGTATTGTTTAATGGACTTTTGAGCTTGAATACAGTTCGTTATCTCCATATTTTTCATAAGGAACATAAATCAACAAAAGTTTAAGAAATGTTGAAAATTTTAGCTTGATACGTTGATAATTTGCCAATTTATTCTAAGATAAAAAAAAAAAGACAAATGATCACCCGGCACTGTCGCCGTTTAGTTTCATGACGTCCGATATCGTCATTATATTTCTCAACGTCCGCTCTCTCTACTTCATACACTAATCTTGATGAGATTACCTGGAGTTATAAGTAAGGACTGAAGCCCCGTCTTGTATATATGACTTTACAATGTCATGACAAGCTGTACATGTTTTCAATGCATATAATGTTGTAAATGGATCTATACGTAGGGAAAGATCCTCAGTTGATTATGCCAGAATACTTAGCTTGTTGACGTTCATTTTCTACCACACATGATTAACGTCACTTTTTCACGTGACTGACTTTTGACACTCTGACTACAAATCGACATTAACTGTGCATCTTTCATCTCTCTAATTTTTTTTGGGTATTTAAAACGAGTACTCTGGATGCATTTTATTTTTCTGTAGCCCGTTCAAACATTCTCCAGGTATATACCAGTTTTTCCAGGTATGAAACTTTATAGGATGTTGGAAAAAAAACCTCCCCCTTCTTGACGTCATTTTCAAGTAGTAAATTGTTTGGACACTCTATATAAAATTTACTTTAAAATTTCATAGTATTTACAGAATGGGATAAAAATTTCAAATTTTACGGAAAATTGTGTTGTACCAAATGCCTGAATTTACGGGATTTTTTTACATAAAAATGCTCATATCACAAGAGTTTTTTTCAGTAACACTCAGGTAGAAAAAAAAGTCATATTTGAGGTTGCGCCGCCTGGACATACCATTGCTTCCAAAAATATTAACAAATTATTAAAAAATAAAACTTATGTTTTAAGGTTTATTCTATAGATAGAAAAGATGATGCTAACTAAATGTGTAAAAATTCATTGATGTACCTAAAGCAGTTTTAATTTTATGGCGCTAGTCCACGAACTTTTTGATAACCCCTCGTAGATGTTTATATGTTCGTAATTCGAGATACAATTAGGGATGCTAAAGTTTACAAATCAGGTTTCAAATGAATGAAATGCAACCATAATAAAAGAATTGTAAATAGCTTGTATTACTGTATAGGACGATTCATTTTCTTTTGGATCAAAGGCATATAATTATATAACAACAAATTACACGGTATGTTGTTTCTTAATTTACACAGAATATTCAACGGTATCATTTACATCCATGAGAATTAAATTCTTACTTTTTTTTTTGTTTTAATTTATAAATAAAATGTAAATAAACAGAAATGCTGTGTTGTTTGTTTTAAATGATTTGGTATCTTGAATGGCTCTATAAACAGGAACCAAAGTTTAAAAAATGATTCGATGACTTTTTATGCAATCAAAAATTAATATATATGGGTTTGTTTTTGGTTGTTTTTTTTTTTTTCATTTCTATCGTGTTCACTTCTTCCGCGTGTGCAGTTGGTCTCTATGCAAAAGTAAAACATGAATTTCATTTTCAACTGTTGGTCAATCCTATAATATTCTATAAATTTGTCCCACATTTCTAAGACTACTAAGCTTCAGATGCTGTCAATAAAACTCTAAAGATATTATATATATATATATATGGGGTACAGCCCACTAATTGTTTTCCCATAGGCAGCAATGTTAACGTTTCTTCACATAGCAATGTCCCTAATTTTCGTTCAGCATTGAGTGACCCCTCAAATCAAAGCACATCAAGTTGTCTTTCCTTGGTTAAAATCTCGAGGTGGCATGTCAGATTCGTTTTCCGGCAAAATGCGTCTGTCTGATAACCTCTGAAAATGAAAGTGAAAGTAGGGGATTTCAAGACTTCTCACTTGTGTTATAATACATAAAATAATTCTGCTGATCTTCTTGAAAAATTACATCTGCCAAGCTTTTTTGCAAGGGAACATACTCCTTATCAACAAGTATGAGGCTCAGTTTAATACCTTATCACAGTTTTTTTAATTCAGGTCTGCAAATTAAGGAACTTGTAATTTTTTCTGCACTACTTTCTTCTCCTACCGATTCTAAAAATAATTAGAGGTATGTACCCATATATATATATATATATATATATATATATATATATATATATATATATATATATATATATATATATTAGGGATGACAAATCGGTCAATTTTTGATATTCGGTTACTCGGATGTTTTTCCGATCGAGTACCCGGGTACTCGGTAAAAATGAAAATACAAGTGCGTTAATTTTCTTGAGCCCCGTTAAGCTCTGTTAAACCCCAACGCTGCCGGTTTTTATCACGTTTATAAATGTATATAAACAATCGAGTGCAAGGGAAATGATTTTTGGTACTGAAATTATTTATGAAATAAACATAAAAGACACAATTAGTACATCAAAAAATTACAAATGGTTTACAGTTCTTGTTTAGATCTATTTCATCAACGCAAAAAGGAGGACAATCTGTTGCGCAGGTTTGTGGTGATTAGACTAGCGAAAGAGAAGGAACGGACGTTGTTGGGATCGCTAGTCTAATATTATTCCATGTGTTGGTTGTTTCCGCATATACACTAAACTTACTACGGCATCTGATTTTAAACATTTTTTTAATTTTTTATAGTTATTTCTAAATATTTCTTCACTTTTGAAGTGGGTAGCTTCATTTCTATGCATTTCCAACCCTGCCGTATATTAATTAAATAATTTAAAGATGATTTGAAAATAATAGACCATACGTAAACGATGTTCACTGAAAACAACCAAAAAAGCCATCCAAAAATTCAGGACCACAATAGGTGAGAATAGCTGTGTACCAGGTGATTGATCACTAATTACTGTATATACACAGCCACAGGCGATAACGGGTGTTTCACAGGTGTAGACAACGACACGCTAATTACCGTATGCATATTTAAGTTATTTTTGATAAGTTTTTGATAAAATTATGTACTTTGAAAAAAGAAAAAATACACTTCCGAGTAACCGAGTACAATTTTTAGTATTCGATACTCGGACGTTCGATCGAGTACCCGGTTAACCGGGTACTCGTTGACATCCCTAAAAGAGATAGATAGATAGATAGATAGATAGATAGATAGATAGATAGATAGATAGATAGATAGATAGATAGATAGATAGATAGATAGATAGATAGATAGATAGATAGATAGATAGATAGATAGATATAATATACTCTATAATATCCTTTAATTTTGATAAAGACAATTTTAAAAATCTTTGGAATAAATTGTGATTAAGATATATGCTTCTTTTTTCACTCTCAACGCAATCCAAAAAAAATGGCTCTTGTATTATCTGAGTATTTTTACCTTATCCTAGAAACAATCTTTTCTGATTGATTTATACCAGAGGAAGCCATCTGTTGTTTGTTGTCTTTTCTCTATTAAGGAGTATTGGTTTTTCTTTCATATTAAGGACTTGCCCTTTTTCTAAGATAGGAAAATAAAACAAAAGTTTTCCATGAAGTGTCTTAAAAATCGGAATCATGGTTAGGGCCTCACAGTTATAGTCTGTTATGGAATATATTTGTCAATGCAGCTTTACTTTTTAGATCCGCAAGATTGTAGTCAATTTCCATAGCAAACATTCCTGTATAGTATGACCCCCTGAAAAAAAAAAGATTAATTGTGTAGTATCACTGATCAGATCTACACAGGAATTAATAGAATTTATTTTCAAATAAAAACCTTCTATCTCTAATTTATTTTGACAGAAGTTCAATTACAAAGCGATGTCTCAGGTAAAAAAAAGGATTGACCATTACCAGATTGTAACCTAGAAAATAAGACATATGGTTTATCATATTATAACCTAGAATATAGGAAATATGGCTTTAAAGTTCTGAAAATGGATATACATTTGAAGGAGAAAATACATTGTGTCTTAAGAACAATGCTAATATGCCTATATTTTACCTCTTTGTATACATGCTCATTAATACAAACTACAGTAATCCATGCCCTCTTCTAAGACAAAAGAGACTGAGGGCATTTGCAGGGTTTTAATTTTAAGGCGTTTAAGTAGGATCACAAAAGAGTCAAAGTTGTTCCATGACTCTCCCAGTAACTCATGTTCTTTTCTAATTTGAAGGGCATTGCAGTATTTTGATTTTAAGAAATCCTAAGTATGGTAATGATAAAAGTTTTTAAATGAAAATGAATCATTTTTATTATTAGATTGAATCGACATTTGTTTGCTTAAGAGAAGTGGATACAGATTTACGACTGGTCGTAAAGAACAGAATATGCCTAAACAAACAGAATAGAAAGATCAAATGGTACTTTCTTGTCTGTATCTACAACTGCACTTGTCGAACAATTGTTGACTTTTATGAAGTAGGTAGCATTCTATAAGCTGTTGCATTTGAAGTTTATTTAAAAAGCTTCAAATAGACCTTTACTGTATTTTACTGGCATCCCTGGTTTTAGCAAATCAAGGTAATGTAAAATGTCCAAACCTTCGTGCAATTAGTGTTAAAGTGCTTCCACACCACACTCGTATTGGTTCAAAGTTACAAACCTGTAGTGATTTCCACTTAGTATAGTGGTATTTAATAATAATCCTCCTAATTAAATTTAATTATTAATAATAAATGATTAATAATATTATTTTAAATAAAGGTCTTTTTAAACTGCCAGACATTGATAAAATAAAATATATGTCAGCATTTAAAAAACACTCAGTTTTGGTACAGAGCATGAATGAAATCGCGTAAAAGCTGGTTTAATCGACATTTTTTAATATTGGAAGATCGAAATAGTTGCTACTTTATAAATATGTATAAATTGTGGATATCAGGGAGACCATTTCACAAATAAAGTGTAAGAAGGAAAATAAGGAAACATAGTAACTGCCCTCTGCACAATTTTAAAAGAATAAATGATTAATTAATAATTTTAAAAAGTGTTGTTTTTGAATTATTTTTCTAAACCGTATTATAAATTACATTTTTTTTTTTTTTAAATTCGTCCGAAAGATCTATTTCTACTGGACAAATGCAAATATTGCAAAAGCCTATGACATAGCACGAGGGTGGAATTACTTCAAATCTAGCGTGTCTAAATATGAGCTTTTTGAAAAATTGTAATTAATAAATTATTTCTTGAAGATATTTTCATTACCTAGTTTCAAGATAATTTTTTTTAATGGACATTGATTTTGCCGGGTGAAAATATCACTTATGAAGAATTTATTGCATTTTTTCCTGATACAGATGATAATCCTGATATATTCCAGTCTTTATCTTTTTCTCTGTTACAGATGATAATACTGATATATTCCAGCCCTTATCTTTTTCCCTGTTACAGATGATAATCCTGATATATCCCAGCCTTTATCTTTTTCCCTGTTACAGATGATAATCCTGATATATTCCAGCTTTTGTCTTTTCCCTGTTACAGATGATAATACTGATATATTCCAGTCTTTATCTTTTTCTCTGTTACAGATGATAATCCTGATATATTCCAGCCTTTATCTTTTTCCGGTTACTTCTGCTTTTATTGGTCCTGGTTGTACGTCTATTAATCCGTACAATGGATTCCTCAGTAAGTGTTGTTTTACTTTCAGGTGTTTCAAATGTATGAATAATATATCAATTTTATATTGAGATCTAAAATATACATATTCAGGATTTTATCATCTTTATAATAAGCATCCAAAGAAACAAGATCGTCTTAAAATGTTCTGATTATAATCCTTTATAAGCCTTACCGAATAAATTAGTTCGACAATGATAGAAAGAACATCAGCATTTTTTTTTTGCAACTGTGGTCTGGCTTTGGTGTCTAGTGCAATAGAAGTAACGTAAAATTGACGAATATGTCTTTTCCTTTATAGATGCCTTTACATATTAAGCATCGTTTATTTAATAATGCCAAGTTCTGAGTTTGGCATTTAATTATTTTTAAGATTTTGTTCTGCTTCTTTCAAATTTTGTGACGTAACATACTTCTATATTTCTAAAATTTAATATAAATCGAGGATTCTTAAAGTTTTTCAAATGTTAACAAAGAATTTTGTACCGTTTTGATTATGTACATGTATATGATATGTTTTATAAATGTCATAATAAATTTGAATAATTTGACTAATTAAAAAATATAACGGTGTTAACCAATAAGTAGAAAAATATCTTACATAATTCTATCATTTATTTAAAAACGAGACAACATTTATTGTAACTTCTTTCGACTACATTATTGTTTAAATAAAAGTTCAAACAAAGAAAGGGATCATTTTATGATAATTTCCTTTTAAGGGAAATCTTATTTTTTATTTAAGATTTTTATTGCAAAACATCCGTCCTTGGAGTAGACTACATCGGAATAATCTCTAAAAGCAAATCTGGTAGAACATGTCAATTCTGGAATCAACAGTCTCCTCATAAACAAACTGCTTTTAAATACCTCCCAGGAACACCTTCTGCTCACAAGAATTTCTGTCGTAACCCTGACAACGAGCCGGGGGGACCTTGGTGCTACACGACTGACCCAAAGGTTCGATGGGAGTACTGTGACGTAACATTTTGTCGTAGGTTTTATCTTTTTTCATATTAGTAAAAAGTAAAAGAAAGTATTAAAAATCTTTGTTAGAAATGCATTATCGACCGTGTAACTTTCTCTTGAAAACTGTCTCATCAATTTATTTCCCAAAAGGCTATTTACAACTTTTCTTCACATAAACAACGAATAAGTATAGGAACAGATAAAGACTATTGAGAATTATCTCCCCAGTGGTTTTCAAACATTGTTTACAATGAAATATGAAGAGAACGAACAGTATTCAAACAGTAGGGAACAGTATTATCTGTAGAAATATCACACGTTTTCTTGTAATTGATAATTATTTTCAAGACGATGCTGGAAATATGTATATTTGTATTTAAATCCCTCATTTTTAGATTATGAATGCAAATATTCTAAATTGGGAAAAGAATATATTGGCTTAAAAGCAAAGACAATATCTGGTAGTACATGCCAAAGATGGGATAGAAACCACCCTCACAAGCATAACAATGCAGACCGATTAAGTGGTCCTGTTTCCTGTCATAATAACTTCTGCAGAAACCCGGATAATGAACCAAACGGTCCCTGGTGTTACACGACTGATCCAAATGAAAGATGGGAATATTGCAGTGTACCATACTGCGATGGTGGAGTAAAAAAGTTTTGAGATAGATATTTGGAGGAACATTAACTTAAAAAGTCATTTTTGTTGTACCCTTCCAACACATTTGCAATAGCATTTTGGAGTTGGCTCTCCTTTTTGTCTTTGAATAAGAACTGGATAAAATTAGAATACTAATAAAAATTCTTGTTTTAAAAGTACTCATCTCTGTTTCTGTAATGGTTTTACAATTATACATTTAATTCCTGATCCTTAAAAAAGACAAAACATGTGAGACATTCTGAATTTTCGACTTAGTACTTTATTGCACCGATCACGGTAGACTAGTTGTAAGGCCTTCGCTTCGTAATCGGGAGGCCCGGGTACGATTCTCGTTCACCGAGCCGCGTCAAACCTAATACGTAAACATAGGTAGTGATGGTTCCTTCCCTAAGCGCCCGGCTTTTGAAGTGAAAGTCACGGGTCTTTCGGATGAGACCTTAAAAACCGAGGCTCCGAGTCGCGGTAGGCGTTGGCACGATAAAGATCCCTCACTGCTCAGTGGCCTTGAGTGCCGAGTATAGGTCTAATTTTGAAACCCTACAAGGTATATGGTGACTTCTCTATATGAGTGAAACATTCTCGAATGGGACGTAAAACAACATACAATCAATCAAGCTTGAATAGTTTGCTTTTAGATTCTTCAAAAATAATATCAATGTTCGGCAAAGGAAAAAAAATTATTTTAATTGTACAGTGATTATTAAAAGTATGAAGAGAATGAATTTTATATGGAACTATTTATACTATTTGACAAAATGCTAATACTGCTATTTTGCCTGAAATGACTCCTGACTTGCAGCATGTATACAAATTAAGAGTGGAAGCACTGTGTAAATTCCTAAAACCAAAGATACATGTACTTCTTTTTGCAAATAATGCAGAAAAAGAGTACATTGATTTCATAAATTTTATGCCATGGCAGCTGTCATGGAATTTAATTACAAGAAGATTATTTCTTCGCGATCTAAGTCTCTATGAAAAACACGGAAAATGAGTGAACAAGATCAATTAATGATGACGTTGTTATCAGGATATCATGAACTTATCATATATAATTATTATACTTAGAATTTCATTAACATTCCCCTGATTTTACAAAGGAGTATTACCTGTGTATCATCTGCGTTTCTTGAAATCATATTCTTTTTCGAACGTATACATTTATATTTTTAACTAACACTATAAGGCGGAAAAATGCTGAGAGTCCAAAATTTTCTTATCAATTACTGATCCTGTGCTGCTTTGAAGATTAATGTTAATATCTGCTGACATGTTTACCTCCGCTATTGATAATCTAGGCTGTTTTTTAATATGGACTACTAGTACCTAATACCGTTGTTTTTACTATCCTTTTGATGATTGTTGTTTTAAAAATACTGTTTAAATTATTATCTATTCTGAAGATTTAAGTGATTTTTGTGTTTATTATTCTTTGGGGCAAAGGGTGTGGAATGTCCCAAGGGTAGAAATAGACGAAACAATGTCATTATTAATGTCATTTCTGCTTCGTTTTTTACTCAGATTATACCTTTGCATTTTACACAACGAGACTAAATATTTGCCTGTAAAACACCTTATTTACATTTATTTCAACAGGACTGAATAATTTTTACTGCAGTGTATATAACAGTTGCGGAACTATATAAGAACAGACTTATACCTTTTTCCGATTACTGTTGTTTTTTTTTTTTTTTTTGTTTGTTTTTTTTTTTTTTGTTTTTTGTTTTGGTGAAATATGAAGATTAAGAACAGTATTCAATCTCAAAAGTCCAATGAAACGATACAAATTCGGAGCAGAGCAAACAAGGACCTCAAAAATTAGAGGTGAGATCAGGTGCCATGGAGGAGTAAGCATTCCCTGACGACCGGTAATACCCGCAGTGTGCTCCTTGTCATGATCGGGAAACAAAAACGAGAAAAATCCGTTGACAGTTCAGTGTATAGATCATGGCCTAACAATAAGTATGAAAAACGTCAGTCAGCATTTGATTCAATGATAGGTTGTATGTGCTGACAAGATCATTGTATCGACCGAAAAACTTGCGAAAAGATGACTTCAAACGAGACTGCTGATATCCTTGTTTCGTCAACTTGTTTGTCAGTAGCTTGCCTCGTTTTAGAAATTGTTCATGCGTAGAGCATGCTCTTGCGTATCGAATCAACTGAGAGAGATAACCCCATATGCAGGTGATAAGGGTATATTGCTACATATGTAAGGGAAGTTGACGATTGAAAAGTTAAAGTCAACACGTTTTTCATAAAGCTTCGTTGTTAGGTTACCATTAACGTCTTTTTCTAGTAAATTATCTAAATATGAAACAGATGTATCAGAATCTTTGGTATCTTTTATTTCAAGCTTAGTGGGATATATCGTGTCGACATATGAATGTATGAATGTATGTTGTTTTACGTCCCATTAGAGAATTTTTCACTCATATAGAGACGTCACCATATACCGGTGAAGGGCTTCAAATTTTGACCTCCACTCGGCACTCAGGGCCATTGAGCAGTGAGGGATCTTAGGTTTTTAAGGTCTCATCCGAAGGACCCGCAATTTTCACTTCAAAGTGCCGAGCGCATGGCGAAGGAACAGTTGCTACTAATTTTTTATCAACTTAGGTCAGTTGCGGCCGAGATTCGAACTCACGACCTCCCGATCACGAGCAAACGCTCTACCGACTGAGCTACTGTAAACGGTTTCGACATATAAATGAAAGTAATTATTGTTAATTGATAATAAAATTACTGTAATTTTGAGTTTTAAATAAAAACTTGGGATGTCAACGAATAGTCGACTATTCGACTATACGTCGAATGGACCGACGATTGAATAACGACATTCGAATGACGAATTTTTCGTTTGAATGGCCTTTTGAGCTTGAATACTGTTCGTTACCTCAATATCACAGGCACCTGATATATGATAGTAAGTGTTTTTGATAAGCTTTAAAAAATGTCGAGCTGGCAATTTTTATGCGCTTACGGAAATAGAAACTAGCTTTACCGACCGATTTATGAACATACACTTTACAGAAATTTTGCGGTCTAAATTCATTTCACATAAACACGCTCTCCACACAAGTTAGGTGTATGTGAACATCTGTTTGTAACATAGGCATTTGACGTTACTTTTAATACAAATTTAATTTAAAGGGTTTTTGATTTATAGATACTTCCTGTGAAGTTTGAAATAAAATTTATTTTCAGAAAATGTTTCGAATACTCGACTATCGTTCGATTAATGCTATCGAATAATCGACTAAGGAAAAAAGATATTTTGACATCTCGAATAAAACGTCTGACTCAGTTTTTAATTATGACAAGAAATAACAGCAATTTACTTCGTTACGATTCTTCGATTCCGTTACTGATATTAATAACTGAGTCTGTAAATGCTCTAAATATTTTTAACACCCTGTCTTTTCTTTGCTTTTTCCAATATAATTGATCTTCAGTGTTTCAATCATCATCTGTATGGAGTTATAATCATAAACCTTTTGAATTGGCGCCAAGATTTAACAAAAAATTTGATTTTTTTTTCAATACTCATTAGAAATGCATCGACGATCTGTTATCAGTTAACAATAAATATGAAGATATACTTTCATACCTTGATTCTCTGTATCTTACTGACACTACAGAATTTGACACAATCAATTTCTACACCAATGCGGGCTACTATCAACTAATTTGAAAAAGGGTATCAACAATCTTGATGAAAAATTCAGTGGTCGATACAATCGCCTTGTCTGTAAATATAGCCTGCCGTTAGGTCGAAAGTTGATTGATGCTTTTTAATGTAAACTGCTTCGCCTCATATTTATTAATTGTCCAAGGATTACTCCCTTTACCCAATCAAGACAAAGGGCTCATGGAGGATGTTACCAGGTGACAGGGGAAGCTTACTTCTCCAGAGCACTACTGATGTTTTCAGGGGTCCGTATTTCCTCTGACTTAAGCTCTTGTCTCGTTAATGAGCTTGAAACATATAATATCATATGTATGATTCTTGTAAGGTTTAATTTACGACAAAATTAAACCTTAACAACTTTACGTCACAGTACCCTGTTGTCAGGGTTACGACGAAACTTCTAATGAACAAAAAGTGTTTCAGGGAGATTTTTGCATTTATTTTGCCGATGAGGGGACCGATTACAGATTTTAACAGGTTCCGTCAGATGTGGTTTTAGAGATTATTATTAACAAGTCCTATTCAAAGACACTAAATATTTAAACTGTAAAGCTTTAGAATATAATATTCATTCAGTTCTTTTCATTTTGAAAGTTTAAAAGCATAGGTTCTAAAAGTATTCTACAAATATGAATAAGACAAATACAGAGGCAACAGGTGATTTTGTAGTAGCATTTCAAGTTCAGTCTTAATGGTTAAAACAAAGTAGCCTTGTCCTTATTTGATTAGAATCATACGCTTTGAAGGTACATATTCTTCTCTTTTGTCATCTCCCTCGTTTGAATGGACTTCATTTTAGATTAGGTATGCAAGTACTCTAAATTGGGAAAATTTATGGGCGAAAGACAAAAAAACAAATTCTGGAAGAACGTGTCAAAGAAAGGATAGAAAAATAGGTGCATGAGGACGGATCCCTCCTCCCCGCGGATATTGATCCCGAACCTTTTCATTCATTTTCTTCCTCTTAAATAATTTTTTATGATATCTTCGTAGTGTAATCCATACCAACTATCCGAAAAAGCACCTAAAACAAAAATTATAAAAAAATTCTCTCTCTCTCTCTCTCTCTCTCTCTCTCTCTCTCTCTCTGTATATATATATATATATATATATATATATATATATATATATATATATATATATATATATATATATATATATATATATATATATATATATATATATATATATATATATATATATGTGAATGACTTCAAAGGGCGTTGAATATTGAACCGGGGGTGCTTTTTCACCGTTGAAAATTGAGACCTAAATTCGTGGAATGTATACCCGGGGTCATTTTTCAACAGCTTAGTATTTTTTCCCAATCTCTTATGACCTTAACACGTTGAAAATTGACCCTTTTGAATATTGACCCCAACTACAGAGCTTTTTACTGTCTTTGAACTGGAAGTTGTTT